ACAAAAGAGGATCCAGGTGACCACGAGAGGTTCAAAATGACCACGAGGTGACTCAAAGTATCCAGGAGAGAAATAAAGTGACCACGACAGGTCCAAATGACCACAAAATGACCACAAAATGACCACAAAATGACCACCCCCGCTGTCCCCGCTGTCCCCGGCCGTACCTTCCGGCGAGGTGGTGGCCCCCCAGCCCGAGGTGAGGCAGGCGGTGCCCGGCCGGGGCAGGCAGGAGGCCACGGCGATGGGCCGGACACGCTCCGAGATGGCCGCAGGGGTCACTGACCACCAGGGGACCACCAGGGGAGCGTGAGGAGACCCAAAATGGCCACCAGGTGACCAAAGTGACCATGAGAGGATCAAAGTGACCACGAGAGGATTGAAGTGACCATGAGAGGATCGAAGTGACCATGAGAGGTCCAAAGTGACCATGAGATGTTCAAAGTGACCATGAGGGGTCCAGAGTGACCAGGAGAGAATCAAAGTGACCATGAGAGGATCAAAGTGACCACGAGGTGACCAAAGTGACCATGAGAGGATCAAAGTGACCATGAGGTGACCAAAGTGACCAGGAGGGTATCGAAGTGACCAGGAGAGGATCGAAGTGACCATGAGAGGTCCAAAATGACCATGAGATGTTCAAAGTGACCATGAGGGGTCCAGAGTGACCAGGAGAGAATCAAAGTGACCATGAGGTGACCAAAGTGACCAGGAGGGGATAAAAGTGACCATGAGAGGATCAAGATGACCAGGAGTGGATTGAAGTGACCATGAGAGGTCCAAAGTGACCATGAGGAGACCCAAAGTGACCATGAGGAGACCCAAAGTGACAATGAGAGGTCCAGAGTGACCATGAGGTGACCATGAGGAACAGAAGAGGATCCAGGTGACCACAGGAAGCCCAAAATGACCATGAGGTGACCCAAAGTGACCATGAGATGTTCCAAAGTGACCACAAGAGGCCCAAAGTGACCACGAGGTAACTCAAAGTGACCATGAGAGAAACAAAGTGACCATGAGAGGTCTAAATGACCACAAAATGGCCACAAAATGACCACTCCCCGATGTCCCCGATGTCCCCAGGTGCCACCCCCGCTGTCCCCGGGCGTACCTTCCGGCGAGGTGGTGGCCCCCCAGCCCGAGGTGAGGCAGGCAGTGCCCGGCCGGGGCAGGCAGGAGGCCACGGCGATGGGCCGGACGCGCTCCGAGATGGCCGCAGGGGTCACTGACCACCAGGGGACCACCAGGGGAGCGTGAGGGGACCCAAAATGGCCACCAGGTGACCAAAGTGACCATGAA